TCGATCTACAGGGTTAGGAAGGACGAGGTCTCAGACATTAGGTTGGGAAAGGTGTTGACATACCCTAGGAACAGTGACCTGCATTTGGAGAGAGAAGACTATGTCACGGAGGTAGGATGGTTAAATGGGTTAGTGCAGCAACGCGGTCACGACCGGGAGTCGGATTTTGGGGCTGAGGCTCTAAGTCCGGATAGCTGGTTTCAAAAGTGCAGTACATGGCCCATACCTCTCTGACTAATATTTTAGTCAAAGAGGCTACTGCAGATGTGCACATCTTCTCTTCCTTTGAGAAGCTAGCCTTGGATGTAAAGGTTAGGCTTGTTAACGCGTCAGAAAGGGGACTCCCTGCTCTAGATAGTTCTTGATAGGAATCGGGGAGAGGTAGAGGTAGTCTGCGATCCTGGGGGTATAGACAAAGCGGACGATGATCAGAAGACTTTTGAGGGAGAAGTGTTAGTCGTCTTAAGAGAAGGCTAAAGCGACTGATTTGCAATAGGTTAATTAGTATAGGAGCCAACAGGAAGACTTTTCTCTACCAATAGGAATAAGGAGAGTATTGCAATGGGTGTATAGGAAACTGACCCGTGAGGAATGTTTGCGAAGGGTGTGGCCTGTACGGTCGTACCAAGAGGCAGGGTTCAAACAAGTTGGTTACCGTGAGGGTGTGGCCTCATAGGGGGCATGATGCACTCTCAACCTAGGAAAGCACTGCGAGCAGTTCCCAGGGTAAACACATATGGCGCAAAAAAGTTTTAACCGCTTCTGCGCAGTGTGAGATGATTGAAAATCCCTCACCATCTCAGAGGTAGCCTGAGGTTACTGACTCCTTAGTCACCCCGCAAACACATCTAGACCACATGATGCTCAGTTCATGAGATGTATCTAAGTCCTTAGAGGAGCTAGCCGGAATAGTCTATGAAAGACATGTTAGTTGCTTGGGTGACCATAGTTGAGGTCCTGAGGGTTGGTAGAAGTCAATGTTAAACGGCCTTAACCTGATAGAGCTCTCGCATACGATGACTCTACTTGGGACTACACTTGTCATTTTTGTGTAGGAATGTTGTGCTCTAGGACCTAGTGCAGCGACCAGGGAGAACTGTAGAGTCTGTCATAGGCCACATTAAAAGACGTGTGTATGAGCTACACGATTACTGTAGCGTTGATCCTCCAACTAAGGGGGAAGGCAACTGTGGACACTAGTCTCGTTTGTCGGATAGCGACACGCTGTTTGTGACATTTCGCTAGGATGTACCTCTTCGACTTCGAGGTTCAAGTGTTCCTATAGGGACAGACAAAACCAAGGGTGGGATATCTGCCTAATCTCGAAGTCTCGGAAGGGAAGGCCTATCAAGCTTCTTCTGAGAGAGAAAATGTTGTCGCTTAATGTTCGTATCTCCTTGGAACCGGCCAGGAATCATAAACAGGAAGATTGTCCAACAGATAGTTAACACTCCTTCTCATGAAGGAAATAACTATAAGATGACTCTTATGTTATGAAATGACGACTGGCGAATCAAACGGAGAGACGGATAGGGCCATATATGTACCCCTAGAGATCATTATATGCATGAAAATCTAACTAAAAGAGATGGGGACGCGAAGACCGAGGATCTCCAAATAAATAGTATACAACTTAATTTCATATTTTACTAATTGAAAAATTACAATAAACATTTTTGGCTAATTTATTTTTAGAATAAAATTGAGCATGCGACTAGGCACTTTGAACGCGGATAAAATGTAGATAACCTATGTTAATGCCTATGGTTGTCCTCAATGTTATACAAAATCTTTCTCCACCTGGATCTGTTTCTCAAATGTATATGAAACCAGCAAGACAGAGAAGTGTAAGGTATTTTACGGAAATGACTGATCTTTGAAGTAAGCTAGGTAATCACTATTTTTGAGACCTCAAGGGCTAACTAAGGTACTAACAGACCTGTATGGGTTACCAGACTGCCTAACTGCTCAAACAATCTAGAGATATCTACCTTATAACTGAACTGCAAAAAGCAAGTGGCCGAGATAGAAGGATAACTAAATGCAGAATACCTTTAGGAAGACATCCCGAAGCACCGTAAAATGACCTTTACGTTGTGGCTGTTATGCTGCAAGCTTACACTAATAGTAGACTCCTTCCTATTTGAAACTTGATTATCAACACCACTGTATGCCAACACATAATTTTATTCATAAGGAGCTGTTGTGGGTTGTTGATTACATCAGGATCACTACACAGTAGACATACCTTATGTCAAGCAAGGAGATTGAGTCTAAGTTAGGCCACGAGCAGTTACATAGAGACTTGACATCTAGAATAATGCTATAGCTCATTAAAGGGCTAGTCGGCAGTCCGGACTGAATTCTGGTCTGGTCTATAATCTGGTTCCTGGTTTGGTTTCAGGTTTGATTGGGATGGTCACCCCTATAGCACCCGCATTTGTGTAAAGCCTCTTAGATTTGTAGGATACCAGCCGACACGCATGGATAATGACAACTGATTATATCATTCATTAAGAATGCGTGCTGCCCCCAACCATGGATAGAGACATCCAAAATAAGGTCTCCTAGAAGTCATATCTTTTGCATCTTCCAAGAATTCCACTGCACCGAGTCACAACAGACATCAAGTGAATGAAGAATTTAAAGGCTTCTCACGGGACTTTCAAAGCTAAGGGGGAAGGAAGGTATGCGAGGATTCGACCCCTCGACAGTGCTGGGAAAGGCCTTGCCTGCCCTAAGTGAAGATGGGCCTGCCAATACGTGCCAAGGCCTGGGTACAGGTCAGTGTGATCACCCTAAAGGGGCCGTATATGTGCGGAGAATGAGCACTCACGAGGCCTTTAACAGACATGCACATGTTCTGAGCAGAGGCCCTTAGCGAGCCCTGTGCCCGCCCTAAGTGAAGGCAGGCCTGAATATTCACAAGAGGCCAAGATTTGACATTTTTCCACATGTGGGTATCATACAGTTGCAGCATGCCAGTTGGTAACCGAGCAACGTGAGCCTCTCCAGGCTCTTTCCGGAAGTTGCAGCCTCGGCGGGCAGTTGAGCCCAGGGCCCCGTACACTTAAGACCGTGGGCGTGTACTTTCAGAGGCTGACACATCATACAACAGCCACTAACCAATGAGATTGCAGCATTGTCCGCACAAAGTGGACGTGAGCCAATGAGATCACAGCAAACATGTGGAGGCCCGTGGACTGCCTGGACGTGCCCAACTATAAAGGGCCCAGGCCAGTAACTGCAACTGGGCCTGGCCGTGTTTGCTGAGGCCCGTGGACTGCCTGGACGTGCCCAACTGTAAAGGGCCCAGGCCCGTAACTGCAACTGGGCCTGGACGCAAGATTTGAGGCCCGACTGGAAGCTATTGGAGGCTCGTCCAGCCAGGCCCAGAGGCAGCAGAGGCTGAGCTCACTTTCCCTATACGGAAGTAAGCATCGCTGGGCAGGGGATTCTGGCCTGCGCAGGCAATGAGGCCACGTTGCTGCCTCGCAACTTCGAGATCTGCACGAAGCTACAGGCTGGGTCGCGCGCACGGGCGCTGGGGTGTGAGGTGCACTGCTGGGAAGTGGGAGCACGGCAGCCATAGCCGGGTTGCTGGGCGCAGGACTGGATGGCGATGGTGGTCTTTGGGTGTTGAGGATGCACGCTGTGGGAAGTCAGGGGTGATGAGGAGAGACGAGATACATACCTGGTGCATGAGGGAGGTCAGCTATGGTGTTGACGTCATGTACATTGGTCTTCAAAGTCGAAGTGAGCCTGTTGCGTGAACGCTGGTGTAGTAGGATAGGCGAGTAGTGTAGGCTGGGCGCTGGGCGCTGGGCGCCAGACAGAGTAGGAGCGACATTGGAGACGGTGTTGGCGTGGCCTGAGGGCTTGGACATTGGCTCGTGAGTTCATAGTATTGCTCTTATCTGGATGGAATCTCGGTGCATTTGCGCTCTCTGCTTGTACATGACTACTTGGACATCTGTGTGATTTCGCAACGTGGTTTTCTGTATATCGCTCTTGCTCATATTCCGTGCACATTTCTCTCCCTTTCTCTTTCTCGCTCTCTCTTTCGGTTGTCCGTTGTATGACAGAGTTTGTGAACTTGACTGATTCGTGCTGAAAAATGGAGTCCCGCTAGGTACCTACAAATGGGGCGTTGAAGAACAGATACAAAAGGGGGCTCTGTCCCCTTCGCCCTCTCGTCGCTCCCTTCTTTCTCTCCCCAAAACATTGTGTGGCCACCCCTCTCCCCCCCCCCGGCCCCCCACTCTGTCCCTTTCTCTCTCTGTCTGGGACGTAATCATCAGCATCCCCCATGCGCGAACCTCTTCTGGCGAGTGGGTTGATTGGCTGTACCGTCGAGATCCCCCTGCTCTCTCCCTCCCTTCTCCCTTCTCCCTCTTCCCTCCTCCCCTCTCTCCTCTCACCCTCTCCCTCCCCCCATTCTCCCTCTCCCCTCTCCCTCTCCCCTCTCTCCCTCTCCCCACTCTTCCTCTCCCTCCCTCCGTCTCCCTCTCCCTCTCTGCCTCCCCCCTCTCTCCCTCTCTCCCTCCTCTCTTTCCCTCTCTCCCTCTCTCTCTCTCCCCCTCCGCCTGTACCCCTTTCCCCCTGTCCTGTCCCCATCGTCCTCTCCCTCTCTTCCCCTATTCCGCTCGCCTCCTCGCCTCCTCTCCTCCTTTTCTCTCCTCCTCCCCCTCCCCCTAAACCCTCTCCCCCTCTCCCCCTCTCCCCCCCCCTCTCCCTTGCCTCTCCGGCCATCTGCCCTCTTTCTGCCTCTCTCTCTCTCTCTCTCTCTCTCTCTCTCTCTCTCTCTCTCTCTCTCTCTCTCTCTCTCTCTCCACATCAGTTCTCTGTTATTCTTTCCCGCCCTCACCTGGGTAACCTTCTCTGTGTCTCACGCACAAACAGACACATTCAGTGTACGTGGGGCTTTGGCTTATCGGTTTGGTTTGGTGTGTTATCGTTGTTACTGCTGTGCACAGATAATTGATCGACGTTATGTAAGCCGGAGAAGTGGTTGAGGTGGACATCGAAGGCCGAAGGAAAGCTGACTGAAGTGTAAAAGGCAAGTCACACGGCAATGACCACCGGATTGTTAGGGTAAAGCTACGATCGATCTGTGCTTCTGATGATCACAAGCGCAGAGGCAACAAGAGCCTAGCAGCGACTGGGACATTGGTGATTGGTGACACGCAGACAGGAGAAAGCTGCTGACCGATTGACGTTGTTGGATGACAAACATTCAGTTCATGTTCAGAGAGACGATAAGTGAGAGTTCTGGAGGACAAAAAAAAAGAGAAGTTGCTGCCGGCTTGCTAGGTCACTGTGTCTGTTATGTTTCTGATTGAAAGAGAGGGATTGCATTCTGGATTTCTGGCGGGAATAACATGTGAAGTGAATTGCAAAGGCGACGACGTGATGCACTACTCTCGTGCATCGGGCACTTTTCAAGTTGAATATAGTCTTCTTTCTGTCTATTTTGGTGCTTTTTCTTTTTCCATGTCATGACATAATAGCGAGGTGTAATTGGACTTGGGTGGGATTGGAAGAGAGAGGCAAAACGTGGATACAGGAGCAGAGTAATCGAGAAACCGCTACGGGTAGTGGGAAGGAATCATTGTTGAGATTCCTTCCTACTTTTCTTTACTTTTTTTTCACTTTTTCTGTACTTTTTCTGTACTTTTTCTGTACACTTTTCTGTACTTTTTCTGTACTTTTCTTTACTTTTTCTGTACTTTTTCTGTACTTTTTCTGTACTTTTTTGTATCGTTGTTGAGATTCCTTCCTACTTTTCTGTACTTTTTCTGTACTTTTTTCTGTACTTTTTTCTGTACTTTTTTCTGTACTTTTCTCTGTATTTTTTTCTGTACTTTTTTCTGTACTTTTTTTCTGTACTTTTTTTCTGTACTTTTTTTCTGTACTTTTTTTCTGTACTTTTTTTTCTGTACTTTTTTTCTGTACTTTTTTCTGTACTTTTTTTCTGTACTTTTTTTCTGTACTTTTTCTGTACTTTTTCTGTACTTTTTTCTTTATTTTTCTTTGTTGCCGCCTCTGGTTTTCATGGAATGAGGGCAAGGACAACGATCGACGGAGCGGACAGAGCAAACAAGGGACAAGCTATTTAGCAGAGAAGGAAGGATTGAACATTATTATCTGGGCTTTTTTTTTTTTCTATTCTTCACTGCGGTTTAAGTGTGGCTACCATGAGTGATATTTTCTTCTTCGATTGACAGTCGGTTGCAGAACGGCCAAACATCAAAATGGACGTACTCAGGAAGCAAGCCGCGAAGGTGCGGGACCAGGTCACAAAACAGCAAGCGGTAGGTAATGAAAGACGACACTACCTCCCCCCACTCAGCTGCAAGGAGGATGAGTCGCATGGCATTCTTAATGACGTCCTTGTGAAATCTTCATGCTGCAATTCTGAGAGCTTTTTTAAGTGCAGTTGAAGGAAAAAAGGCAAATGAGGGGAATGGGAACAAAGCGAGTTGTTGTGACGAGTTGGCTTGTCACATCAGAAGAGAGGAGGAGGAGGAGAAGGAGAGTAAAGGAGGAAAATTAGCAGAGTATAGGAGGAGGAGGAGAAGAAGGGCTGCCTGCTTGTCACAGCAGAAGAGCTGCCATAGATACGAAAAACGGAGGAGGAAAATTAGCAGAGTATAGGAGGAGGAGGAGGAGGAGAAGAAGAGAGGAGAGGAGGACAAGGAAAAAGGGAACTGAGAGAAAAAAATGTTCCAGAAAACGGAGGTGGAAAAGAAAGAAGAAGCAGAAGATGAAAAGATGATAACGATGCTGCTGCTGCTGCTGCTGCTGATGATGATGATGAGGAGGAGGAGGAGAAGAGACGGTTCTACCCTTGTCTGGAGGATGGACAGTACCGAGTGTTCGATGCCAAGCCCCGTGGGGTGATGCAGAAGATGAAAAGATGATGACGATGATTTTTTTTTTTCTTTTCTTTTGAAAGTTAAGGTCTAACAGCCGGTATGGTTAGGCCTTGTCCGCCGGGTGATACAGAAGCTGTCCGCCGGGTGATGCAGAAGCTGTGGGATAGGCTTGGGCCAGGCCTGGGCAAGGGATGGGCAAGGGATGGGAGCGGCCCTATAGTGAGAACCAGGTAAAAGAGAGAAACACGTTCAAAACAAGCAGTCTGAGAAACTGAGCAAGCTGCTACAGTCTTCCCCCGAATACAACGTACGGTCATTATAGCTTAATTTAGACGGGAAGATACACCAAATTCAGCTATAATAACCGTACGTTGTATTCGGGGGAAGACTGTAGCTTGGGAAGATTGGAGCAAAGACAAGCGACGAAGGCATAAGGAAAATAAGAGACGGATGGAAGACAAAATGGACAACACAGAATCAGATCAGCAAAGGAGCAACCGAACCCGATCGACATGGAAATGATAGAAAATGGCTAGATAGAGAAAATCGGAGAAAGGTACAGGGAGGGAAGAAAGATGAAAACGATTTCCAAATGGGAGAACACAGAGCAGCAAACAAGGTCCAAAAATAGTAAACAGCAAAGGAGCGGGCTTGCCTTCCTGAGCTGCCACCTGTCACAGAGGAAGACATGGCTCTCTGTGTTCACAACCCAAAGACTGCGGTGAAAGGGAACACAGTTCTCTCTCTCCCTCTCTCTCTCTCCCTCTCTCTCTCTCTCTCTCTCTCTCTCTCTCTCCCCCCCCAAAAAAAAATAACACGGACCAAAGAGGAGGGGTGAGAATGAAGAATGAATCACACTGAGCGACTCTCTCTCTCTAAGGCCGGTCAGTTCGATGATCATATCTCAAGGCCGTCGCCCTTTTTTGGAAAAAAAGCCTTTTTTTGGAAAAAAAGGGAAAATGAAAGGGGCAGATTTGCAAAGTACTGTTTCGGAGCCTCAGAGCGCGTGGAGAAGTAGTGTGTTCCGATTTTGCCAGCCTGCCACCTTTAGTAGTGTCTTTTTCCGATTCTGCGGGGGGCAGGCCTGGTCCAGCCTGCTGGGTCTCTACTGCTGGTATTAACATGATCTTTTTGCGAGCAAAGCCCTCATGTTGTTTTAACCACGAAGTTACGAAGGATTTATTATTACTTGTTTAAACTTTCTTGCGCAGGGGGCATGCATGCAGATCTTCTTCTCGGTATCGTTCCAATTTGGACGGATGTCCCCTGCAACAGATACTTTACGGGCACTTGACTAAGGCCTTGCAACAGATACTGTGGGGACATCCGTTTACTGGCACTTGACTAAGGCCTTGCAACAGATACTGTGGGGACATGACAAGATTCCTTACGGGTTGCGTTCTCCCCACAGTATCTGTGGCAAGGCCTTAGTCAAGTGCCAGTAAACCAAACCCTCTCTCTGTCGTCACCCCATATCAACCCCACAGCCCTCTCTAAAGTTGGCTGGTTAATGGCGTCGGGCATCTGCATGTCTCTATCAAAGCCCTATCTCCCGCCTTTAGACTACCGTCTTCCCCCGAACACAACGCACCATCATTTTGACTGCATCGGGACGGAAAAATAGTCTGTATACTTTCATTATCAGGGTGCGGTATGTTCGGCGGAAGACGGTAGTAGCCCAGTTTTGTGACTGGTATCGTTACGACAGGGCATACGACTTTTGAGACTTTTGAGTTTGTGCATCGGATGGCCAATCTGGCAGACACAATTTTTCCTTCCATGCACAGCAACCGGGCCAGGCCCAAAAGCCAGTAAAAAAAAAAAAAAAAAAAGCCAGTAATGAAGGCGGGTTGGTGGCTTGGAGTTAGCTCCTGGAGACCACCTGCTGTTCCCAGAGTTTGCCTTCCAAATGTGTGCGCTTCGCTGGCTATGTACCAATCCCCCAGACCCAAGCAATTTTTGGAGTCGTTATTGGACCCTTCTTCTTCAAACCACTAACCAGTACAACGGGGCCTGCAGGTGCCTTATTGCGCGCCAAGCTTTTCCGAGGGATAATTGGTACAACAAAGGGCCTCGTTCCACACCACTTCACTCCACTTCAATTTCAAGTGCGGCACTTGAGCTGCGTCACAGGGTAATCGTCATTAAAAAACACTTGAGCCTGGCACGGTTCGACGTTACACTCCACTCCACACTAGAAACAGGAGTGGGAAAGTGGCAGAGGCTGTTCGCGCGAGGGAAGGGGGGATGTAAAACAAAAAAAAGAAAAAACGGGGGGAACATGCAGTGCCTACAACAGCCTCCTGGCTCTCACTTGCGCCGTTTTGAAGTGCGGCTCAAGTGTGCCCGGAGAGGTGACTTGAAAAAATCACCTATTCGCCTGGGCCGCACTTGAGCCGCACTTTATGTTTTTGGAGGTGACTTGAAAAAATCACCTATTCGCCTGGGCCGCACTTGAGCCGCACTTTATGTTTTTGGCGGGCGCCGGGAGAGGCGGGAAGCCTAATAGCGATTAGGGAATGTGAAACTCAAGTGCAGTGCAGTGTGGAACGAGGAATTTCTCAAGTATTTCTAAAGTGGAGTGGTGTGGAACGAGGCCCAAAGCGCCCACGCCAAAACCTTTTCAATTTTGGGCGCCCGAAAATCGGCTGTTTGGTACTACCGGGCCAAACGTTTTCAGCCTGGGTGAAAGGTGTCTTGGGGCCGTGGTCACATCTCCCTTGGCCTGTTTTTACCGGTTCAAGAATTAGGCGCTGTTTTTGCGCCAGATTCGTGAACCGGTAGGGCCCATCTTTTTCAAAATAACATACTTGGGCCTCATTCTATACTTCAGGGGTACCACCCTCGGCCTCTTTTACATCAAAATGAAACTGATGGTGTTATGTGCCAGATTCATGATCCGGTAGGGCCCTTGGAGCGACGCGTGGGCCTGTAGTACCCCACATGGAAGTCATGGGGCCAAAACCATAAAGGTTTTGGAGTGGGTGCTTTCTACCAATTATCCCCTTATCCGAGCCGCCAGCAGCACACTTCTTTTTATTTTTGGCTGGTGCCGCCAGCCATTATGGTCCGGTAGGCCAAGCCTCCGGAATTTTCGTAGTTGACGAGTTTCTTTTTCAGCAAGGCTGGGGCCGTGTACTGGTGGTTTAAAAAGGAGATGAAGAGCTGCGTGATGCTCTACCATGAGATTGATTGATTTCTCCCTTTAGTTGTTTCGACAGTGTGGTGTGTTCTCGAGGGCTATAACCCTGTTGTTGTGCTGCTGAAGTCGTGATGGACCACACGCATGAATGTTGCTTGAATTTGAACCAGGTGCATGCTGATCTATTTAACATCCATACCGGCGAGGGTTTTGATGATGCCTGACTGGTCAGGACCTTAGATTCGCTGTGGTGTGAAAACCCTTCTGCGCTTGCAAGCGATTCTTCAACTTTATTTCTTTTGTTTGATGGTGTGTAAGCTTTGGGCAAAATCTCCGACGTGCGATTTCTGAGGAAACTATAGGATCTCTAACGTTGGTTGGGGTGTTGGAATGATTGCACCTGCAGGCTGTGCTTGGAAAGTTTGGGCACAAGGCAGAATCAAATGTTGTCATTATCGGCGAGCAAGAGCTTCAGCGCCATCAGCAGTTGGAGAGACTGAGTGCATCTACCAGTATGGGAAAGGTGAGCTGGGATTTAATGGCTGCATCATCGATCAGAATCATCAGACCTTCCTGTTGGGTAAACTGGTCGAGCTATTCATAACTTGCGCTCGCATAGAAGGGCGCAAACCTCTGGAAGTAGCTGTAATAACTGTGTTGTAGAGCTATTGATTGCTGTACCTTTGGGATACAATACAGGAGGAACACAGGTACTACTTGCTGATGGCAGTTTTTTTTTCTTGGAAAGAGAGCTGCTGCTGCTTGTTAGTTCCGCTGTGGACGAGTGGAACAGAGAAATAAAAAGCCGTAGCTATAGCTGTGTAGCACAGTTATGTGGGTATGTGAGCAAAGTGAGTACTGTCGCTACTGGAACTGACTGGCTGTGCACTGTGCCTCCAAAAAAAAAAAAAAAAAAAAACTATCGGAAGCTACATAGGGCCCAGTTTGTCACTGCCTGCTGACATAGCGGGGAAGCTTTGCTTGAAAACTAGGATTCTTGCCCCCCCCCCCCCCCCCCCCCCCCCCCCCCCCCTCGTATACCTGTTAATATTCACTTGACTGTCAGCCAAGACACCATGGACGAGGGCTGAGATGAACTAATGGTCTCTGTACCTTTGTGAATAGAGCCCACCTGACGCAGAGCCGCTGATAGCTGAGTAGGCCGCTGCTAACATGATGGTTAACCGGCTGCTCGGCCAGCGTCTTCAACGCTGCTCCAAACGGGCCGCTGGCTCTGGCAGATACGGCCAGAGCATTGGAAAAGAGCGCCGGGGGAAGAGGTAAGGAAGAGCGAGGTGAAAATGCCCGCAAACAGTAGTGAAGATACGTTGAGCTGAAGCGGGAAGCAGATACCGTGTACTGGTACTCGACACCGGGATGTGTACTGCACACGTGAGGGAGCTATGGGCCAAAGCAGAGGTGGCAGGTGTGGCTTCGCACGATAGGAGGGCAGGAAGCAGGGCCCGGAAAGGCCGGGTTGTACACTAGATAGTAGAGGGAGGAAACCCGGTAGCTGACGCTGAGAACCGGGTTGAAACAGGGGTGGACGTAGCTTAGTACTACAAGAGGGTGGGAGGCAGGGCCCAGACGAACCGGGTGGTACAGTAGTTAGTAGGGGAAGAATCCCAGTTCCTAGTGCTGAGAACCGGGTTGTGCAATAGAACCGATTGAGAGGGATCAGGCTCAAGCAGTAGCAGCCGCAGCAGGTAGTTACAGCTGGGGAAGGTGGAGAGGCGGGGTGACGGGTTGGGCGCTGGGAGAAAAGCGATGTAGGCCTGTACCGTACGTGACCAGATGAATGCTAGTAGACGTGGGGTTGTTAGGGTCTAGATGAGGGACACCGGGGCCAGCAGAGTCGGAACCGGTTAATGGGAGGGTCGATCCAGACTGGCAAGTACCTAATGCTGAAGACTGACCCGGTACAGTGGAAGATTAAGGCCCGGAAGAGCTGACGTCGGAGCGTAGGCCCCTACCATCGACCAGTACACGTGCAGTTTGAAAAACCTGGCACACACAGAGGCGCACACGTGAGGTTGGCGGGAAGAAGGGGCGTGCGTATGTGCACGCCAGGTCAGTTACAAGCGAGCCGTGTCGAGACCTGCCCAGTCAGTTGCAGACCTGGAGACTGTGCCAGCTATATCTCTGGAGGGCAAGGCCAGAAAGGTCCTCTTTGCTCTGGGTGGTTTGCTACGGTGGATGCGGGAGTGTGGTTGCCCCTTGATAAGTCCTGGTGCGCAGCCAGGCGAAACACATCGGGGAATGTGCGCGTTGAGCTGACAGTCCGTGTAGGTGCTTCAATGGTCATCATTGAGACATGGACGCATAGCGATTGGCCTCCCTGTTTCAATTCGATTCAATTCTTCTTCTTCCTCCTCTTCTTCCTCTTCGTTGTTGTTGTTGTTGTTGTCATCGTCGTCCTTTTCTCTTTCTTCTTTTCTTTTCTTTTCTTTCCTTGTTTCACACTGTGGTCAGCCAAATGTAGTCAAATATCTTTTTGCCTTCTTCTCAAGGAAACTTGCCGTCTCAGATTTTCGGTCTTTCAGAGTCTTTATGGATTGTGTACCGGCAAAAGTTGCCCTTCATAGGAAAGGCTCACCCTTTTGAAACACAAACGCTCAGGTCACAATTGTCTCGCTAAATGCAACATGTCTGCCCCAATCGACAAGAAGGATGCAGCCAGCTTAAATGCTAACTGTGTTGTTGGGATTGCACCAGGTAGGCTGGGTAGGGAATTTTGCAACCCCCTCATGTCTTGCGATTTCTGCACCTCGTTGTCGATTGGGGCAGTCTGGGTAGGGTATTGCAGCCCCCCCTTATGCAAGTTGTTTCCGACTTTGATGTGCAGTCCTACATTGTGGTCATCATTTCCTGAGAACATTGTATCCGACCTCAATCCAGCATGCGCATTGTACACCCTGACTTGTGCAGTCCTACATTGTGGTCATCATTTCCGGAGAACATTGTATCCGACCTCAATCCAGCATGCGCATTGTACACCCTGGCTCATGGATTGCACAATCCGCATGCTGGATTTGAGGTGGGGTTACAAAATCCATGGCTGGAACGGTTATTGAGACCAGGCACACGTGCGAGATCAGCCAGGACCGGAGGCAGAGATGAGAGGGGGGAAGATGCATGGTCAGCACCAAGCGCACTTACGCCTTCAAGTTTGGTCTTTCTCCGAGTGTGCTCTGTACTTTCCTGCATGTGATTGGCGGTCAAGTCTTCGGTGGTGTCTCAGGGTTTGCGATCTGCGGTTAGTTGATGAAATGAATGAATGATGCTTAAAATCTCAAGTTGTGGCACTGGGAGTTTTCTGATGCAATTGCGTACTGGAAAGGTGCATTGTGTGGTCGCTTATACAAACAACACACTTGTACTCGAATGCACGTAATGTCCCGACACACGCACAACCACATGGGCATACACAAAGATACATGTGTATGCACACACATGCCTGGGTGGAGTTAGGCAACTGACCCTAGCTTAAGGAGTGCGTGTTAATTCATTAGTTACAGTGCAAGTGTGCATCAAGCAGTTTCTCTGATCAACCATACAGATATGGTGGACCTTTTGCTCTTCGTTGTGTTTTGTATCGTTCCTTTCTGTATCGGTCAAAATGGAGATGGTGGGTGAACATTTGCAACACAAAGGGGGGGGGAGAGAGAGAGAGAGAGAGAGAGAGAGAGAGAGAGAGAGAGAGAGAGAGAGAGAGAGAGAGAGAGAGAGAGAGAGAGAGAGAGANTGGGAGGTGCCTTCACCACTGAACAAAGTAGGGGAGAGAGAGAGAGAGAGAGAGAGAGAGAGAGAGAGAGAGAGAGAGAGAGAGAGAGAGAGAGAGAGAGAGAGACTCATGTTGAACGGTGTGTTTTGCAGGGATTCCAGCGGGATATTGTGAAGGCAGTTGATGGCTTGGTGGGAACTGGAAACAAGACCAGTGAAGTAGGTAATTGGTCTTGGCTGGTCTCTTTTGTGGAACTTCCTTTCAAACTATATGCAGCTTTCAATTTCTTTGAGTCGTCCGTGTTCTTGGGAGTTTACCAGTTTTCTCCTGCTGGGTAGCCGGGTGGTGGATATGCTCACCTAGATTTGAATTGAAAGAGGCAGATAATCTAATTAATTGGGGACAGGAAACGAAATGACAAGGAATTGCGTGAAATTATGGAATATGTCAATTGATCTGATTGAGGCTTTTTTTTTTGTACTTTTTTGAAAGTTTTTGAAAGTTTTTTTTTTTTTTTTTTTTTTTTTTTTTTCCCATGATGATTTTGGATTTACAGGAGGTACCAATTTTGAAGAATTAGCCAAAATTTTGACTGGTTATGAAATGACTTTTTTAAGTTTTTTTGAGGATGAAGTAGATTTCTAATGTAAGTTGAAGAATCGCTTCATTTTCTCTCGGAACGGTCGTGGTGACAGAGACAAGTCTTTTTTTATGACGTTACCCCGCTGGTCATATGAGACATGTCGCATGCGTTTTCTTTTGTGGTGACATTTTTGGCTGCCAGTATGGTTAATAGATATTATAATCAAATAATTAGATTCATTTTCTTTTCTTTGTTTATGGTCAGTGAGACATATTTCCTTTTTTACACAAGTCAATGTGGCATGAGTTTGTTATTGACTTTTTTTTTGTCTGCCAAGTTGTGCCAACCTGTTTTTCAGTTGCAATGGGAGAAAAGGTCAACTGAGAAATCCTGACCATCTCCTTTCTGCATCGATGTGAAAGGGTGCAATCTTCTGTTTGCAGCAATCTGGCAACGAACGACCGCTGAGATTAAACCACCAGTACTTTCGGAGGCATTTTTCTGCAGGGCTGGGAAGGGCCTGCGCACAAAAAAAAAAGAAATGAACTGCCGCAGTCCTCCTTTTGGCTGGCGCCGCCCGGCATTTTGCTCTGGAGACCGAGCCGTGAAAGTTGCGCATGCATGCAAGCCACATTTTTTATTCTTTGAATGGGAAACGTGCTGGCGGTTTGACGGAACTTTGACGATCTAGGTCGACCTGGTGAACTCTCTGGTGCAAGCCATCAGGTCACAAATATTCTGTGAAAAGTCGACGCCTATCCTTTCCTTATGTATCTGCAATTTGCAGGCAATCGAATTGTGGGGAAAATAAATTAAGGTTCAGTATTCTGCACATAGCCATCTGCATTTTTTTTCTTTTTTTAAAGTTTTTTTTTTTTTTTTTTTTTAATGGGGTTACAGACTTACAGTCGCCTTAAACGAACGGTACATGGCCCCAGGCAACTGGAGAACCTGTTTTGAGCCTCGCCTGAGATTTAGAAGGCCGAGCGCCGTAGATAAAGTGAATCGGCGGCCGGCGGCCGGCGGCCTCCGAAAGGGGCCCGCAGCGAATAGCTGGCATGTACTGGTGCTTTAAGCAAGTAATCTTTGTGATGACGGTTGTAGCAGTGGGACCAATAATCACCAATTGCATGTGTATATGGTTTGAGGAGGAGGTAGTACAACAGGTAGAGTGGTTGTAGAGGGGGGGGGCAACAACTGAATGGGAGAGAATGTGGGAGGGGTTGGGGGGAGAAGAAAAAAAAACAGCTTGGTGCTGTCTACTGTCGCCAATTTGATTGTCACCGGTGAGGTATCCATGGTAACTGAAAATTTTTTGAAACGCTGAATGCGTTTATGTCTCGATCGTTGGCAGCAACGAAGCTTGCAGATGACTGTCGCAGATACAGCACGGAGGCGTCTAGTTCCCCTTTTCCGCTAAAGCGTTCTGCGCAACTGTATTCACAAGCTCGAGGACAAGTGGAGATGGAGAGGGATATGATGCATCGGTACCTTGGACTTCAGGTCAGTGACGAAAACCAGAATTGGTCCTTTGTTGTCACATGGTCTTTGTCTTCGCTCACTCACGAAGACGAGGCAGACAAACATGCACAAAATTTTACCCAAATGACGATATGGCAATACAAGGCGAAACATGCCTCTTGCGAGCTGTTGAGGAAACTCTTTAACTTTCTTTCTTTCTCTTTTTCTGGTTCTTGTTGCTTTGCACTGCCATTTGTCCCAATCAACATCAGGATGGGCCCTGGATTTGTCCCAATCAATATCAGGATGGGCCTCGATTTGTCCCATCCTTTGCGCAAGGGAACCACTGCAATGCTCGCCTGTCGCTCACATCTATGCAGTCGGCCTGAACATACCAATCTCAGGCTTTTCATCGTGCAGGGATCCGGAGGTCGAATTGCGGTGGATGATTCTAAAATGTCAGGGGGTAAACCTTGTGCAGAGAGGAAAGGCGGTTAGGGGCGGATGCTCGTCATGACACTGAACAAATGCTTTGGAGTGTTTGTTTTTTTAAGTTTTTTGTTCTCGCTGGCGCTTGTTTATGGAAGTTTATGTATAAATGAGTTTAATCAAGTTTAACGACATGGCGGTGATGGCGTAGAAATGTGAGAGATGCAGTGAACTTGATGCCAAGGATTGGGCTCTTTTTTTTTTTTTTTTTTTTTTTTTTAAGGATTGGAGTTCTTGTTTCCAGCTGTCTTGATTCTCTGTAGTATGGAGAGAAGCGGTTTTCAAGTTCAAGCCTTCAGCTGTTGTGCCTTTTTAAGCCCAGGTTAGTGGAGACTGAGACGGAGAAAGTTCGACATTTTACTCAGTGTGGTTTGTTTGTTTGTGTTTTTTGTTTTTTTTTGGGGGGGGGGGAGGAGAGGGGACACTGTTTCTCGGTGCATGGCTGTTACACTTGTGCAGCGGTCATGCTAATCTTCTCTGTATTGTTCCAATATTCTGTGATGTCGTGAAGGACTGCTTTGGTTCTGTTTTTTTTTTTTCTTTTCTTTCTTATTCTAAAGACTACCCTATATTCTTCTCTCATTATATCCCTCCCTCCCTCCCTATCTACTCCGTAGTCCAGTTTTTTGGTTCTCAGTGAACCATAGGAGTGTATTCAAGCTGGGCGGCCCTGAGAGTTGTGGGTTGATACCGGCCTCAATTCTGCTCTATGCGGGGAGAAGCACCCAAGCTCCTAATACCTGGCAGAGGCTGGAAAGCGCGACCACTTCCACAACCAGCCAGGAGGCCCAAGCCAACTTATCTCCGCTGGTGAACCCAAAGCACACTCTCACGGAGGCCGTGCGGATCGAAAGGATGACAGTGGGTATCGAACCCACGACCTCCTGAGTGCCACTTACATGCTCAACCAGCTGAGCTAGCCCGCCCGGGCTGCTTTGGTTCTGTTTTAATTGTTCCCGCTTTGTTAGTTTTTTAACTATACTTTTTTCGTGTATCGGAAATCAAACAGGTTGTTGAGCCACTGAAGGCCATGGTGATGGGGGCACCTTTGGAGGAAGCTCGGGCACTGATGAAGCAGTATGAGAGAGTGCGTCAGGAGGCGCAGATACAGGCAAGTATCCTGGTTTCCTTATTGTAGGGCAAGTGTGGGTGCGAGTGGTGTGGATGGTTGAAATTGTGATTGCATTCAGGTGAATAAATGCAGGGCATAGCATAAGCGCTTGGTGGATAGGAACACGAGTAATCATAGTGAATCACAACCTTTCTTCCGTGCTCCTGTCTTCTCCATCATGTCCACTTTCCCATTGTTCATCTCTCTCTCTCTCTCTCTCTCTCTCTCTCTCTCTCTTGACTTACGGATCTGTGAATTCACTGACCCATACGATCAAGGCCAAAAGCTGATCATGATGGAAACGAGGAAGGCAGCATGAGCTGTGAGCCACATGCCGGGAGAAAACAAAAAAGTAAATGTATCTTTGCTCGATGCACCTTCGCCTGCCTTGTAGTCAACCAAAGTTGGTGATCCAAGGTCACAGCCTTGTGAGTGCTCAGAGCACAAAGAAACAACTGTTGAGACAACCAAACCCGATGACCCAATGTGATGACTAGGGAGAGAGAAAGGGGGAGAGGGAGGTAGAAGAGGAGGGGGGGGG